GACAGAAACTGCTCTTTTTCAAGGACAGCTCTTATCAGAACTATGGCGAAGAAGAGGAAGAGATTGGATTTATACCCTGCCCTTCACTACCCAAAGGAGTCTCAGAACGATTTACAAACGCCTTTCCCTGCCCCTCCCCACAAGCAGTGTTCCCTCTAAGCTGAGCCAGCTCACAGTTTTTTAGCCTCCAGCTCACACATTTTCGTCTTCGCTCAGGAAGAATGGCTCCAGAGCGGACTCATTTATGCAGCAGCCAAATTGCTCGCTCACAACTTTAAGGCCAGTGGCTCACAAAGTAGAATTTTTGCTCACAGAACTCCACAGCTTAGAGGGAGTATTGCCTGTGAGGTCGGTGGAGCTGGGAGAGCTCTGACAGAAACTGCTCTTTTTCAAGGACAGCTCTTATCAGAACTATGGCGAAGAAGAGGAAGAGATTGGATTTATACCCTGCCCTTCACTACCCAAAGGAGTCTCAGAACGATTTACAAACGCCTTTCCCTGCCCCTCCCCACAAGCAGTGTTCCCTCTAAGCTGAGCCAGCTCACAGTTTTTTAGCCTCCAGCTCACACATTTTCGTCTTCGCTCAGGAAGAATGGCTCCAGAGCGGACTCATTTATGCAGCAGCCAAATTGCTCGCTCACAACTTTAAGGCCAGTGGCTCACAAAGTAGAATTTTTGCTCACAGAACTCCACAGCTTAGAGGGAGTATTGCCTGTGAGGTCGGTGGAGCTGGGAGAGCTCTGACAGAAACTGCTCTTTTTCAAGGACAGCTCTTATCAGAACTAGGGGTTGCCCAAGGTCATCCAGCCAGGTGCGAGTGGAGGCGTGGGGAATCGAACCCGGTTCTCCCAGATTAGAGTCCCCACACTTCATCACTACACCAAACTGGCTCTCCTTCAGGAGAAGGAGAAGAGATTAGATTTATACCCTGCCCTTCACTCGGAGTCTCAGAGCATCTTACAAACTCCTTCCCCCTCCCCACAACAGATACCCTGCGAGGTCGGAGGGGCTGAGAGAGTTCTGGACAGAAACTGCTCTTTTTCAAGGACAGCTCTGGTCAGAACTACGGCTTGCTTAAGGTCATCCAGCAGCTGCAAGTAGAGGAGTGGGGGAATCAAACCCAGTTCTCCCAGATTAGAGTCCGCGCACTTAACCACCACACCAAACTGGCAGATTAGAGCTGTGAGCGAGCAACTTGGCTGCTGCATCAGTTAGTTTGCTCTGGAGCCCTCCTTCCTAAGCAAAGACAAAAATCTGTGAGCTGGAGGCTAAAAAACGGTGAGCTAGCTCACACAACTCAGCTTAGAGGGAACACTGCTTGGCATCGAGGGGAGGCATGAAATGGAAGGGAGCCCCCCTGGCACAAGTCGCTGACGCTGCTGAGAGCCCAATCGCGGTCCCGAATGCAAGCCGCCCTGGCACTGTCTGAATAAATCAGGGTTACAGCCAGGGTTCCCTCTAAGCGGAGTTAGTGCGAGCGAGCTCACAGTTCTTTAGCCTCCGGTTCACACGTTTTTGTCTTTGCTCAGGAAGGATGGCTGAAGGGCGAACTAATGTATGCGGTAGCCCAATCGCTCGCTCGCAGCTTTAATGCCAGGAGCTCACAAAGTGGAATTTCTGCTCACAAGACTCCACAGGTTAGAGGGAGCGTTGCCAGTCCCCCGCCCACAGCCTCGCCTTCTGCACAGGGTTGTTGTCAGAGTAAAAGGGAGGAGAACCACAGAGGCGGCTTGGGGGGGGGGTCCCAGAGTTCCCTCTAAGCTGAGTTAGTGCGAGCTAGCTCACAGTTTCCTAGCCTCCGGCTCACGCGTTTTTTTTCTCAGCTCAGGAAGGAGGGCTGAAGGGCAAACGAATGCATGCAGTGGCCAAGTCTCTTGCCCGCAGCTTTAACGCCAGTGGCTCACAAAGTAGAATTTCTGCTCACAAGACTCCGCAGCTGAGAGGGAGCATTGTGTTCCCTCTAAGCTGGGTTGGTGTGAGCCGGCTCACCGTTTTTTAGCCTCCGGCTCACACATGTTCACCTTCGCTCAGGAAGGAGGGCTCCAGAGCAAACTAACTTATGCAGCAACCAATCGGCCTGGAGAAGAAGCGACTGGTTCCCGTGGGTTGCCAGGTCCCGGTGGGGAAGGGTTGCCAGCTCCAGGATGGGAAGCCCCTGGAGATCTGCGGATGGAGCCTGGGGAGGACAGGGACCTGAGTGGGGGGCAAATGCCGGAGAGCCCACCCTCCACAGCATCCCTTCTCCCCGGGGCGACTGATCTATGCAGTGTGGAGATGAGCTGTAACTCTGGGGGGTCCCCAGGTCCTGCCTGGAGGCTGGCATCCCCACATTTAGTAGAGATTAACTGCATGGGAGCGAGCAGATGTGGAGCTCTTCCGGCAACACAGGGCAGCTTTAATAGAGCTCTAAAAGTTGGGAAGCCCACACTTTCCATCTTGTTGGAGTGTAGGCGCCTTGGGGCAGGGCCCCCCAGTCCTTATAACACCCCACTGTAGAAGAGGAAGAAGAAGAGATTGGATTTATACCCCGCCCTTCACTACCCAGAGGAGTCTCAGAGCGGCTTACAAACTCCCTTCCCCTCCCCTGTGAGGTAGGTGGGGCTGAGAGAGCTCTGACAGAAACTGCTCTTTTTCAAGGACAGCTCTAGCAGAACTATGGCTTGCCCAAGGTCATCCTGCAGGTGGAGGTGTGGGGAATCAAACCCGGTTCTCCCAGATTAGAGTCTTAACCACAACACCAAACTGGCTCATACTGATGGACCAAGGCTCTAATTGAGAGCCAGTTTGGTGTCGTGGTTAAGTGCGCGGACTCTAATCTGGGAGAACCGGGTTTGATTCCCTGCTCCTCCACTCGCAGCTGATGGATGACCTTGGGCAAGCTGTAGTTCTGACAAGAGCTGTTCTTGAAAGGGCCGTTCTCGAGAGAGAGCTCTCTCCGCCCCGCCTACCTCGCAGGGTGTCTGTGAAGGGCGGGGTACAAATCCAATCTCCTCTTCTTCTAATTCAGTAAAAGGCCGCTTCATGTGGTCATTTCTGTCTGGTGGGCAGCTTTCCGATGTCCAGGTAAGGATTACCGCTCGCTTCCCTTACATTCTCGTAGATTTTTATGCCGTCTCTCCAAAGAGCTCAAGAGTACCATGTATGGCTGTCCCCTTCCCAGCAACAGCCCTGTGAAGTAGGCTAAACCGAGAGAGAGGATTGGCCCGATTCGTGGCAGCATGGGGATTCGAATCCAGATCTCAACTCCTCGGTCTGGCGCTGGGCCACACAGCCTTTTCCCGTCCCCCTGTCTCAACCCTTCAGCCCTTCACCTCCTCCCCCCTCACCCCCTTTCCTTGCAGATCTAATTATACTAATAAAAAAATAAATTTCTCCTCTGTCCTGCATCTCTCTCACCTCTTTGGACTCCTCTGCCGTCTCACGCCCTGTCCGTACCTTACCTGTCTCGTTCTGGAAAGAGGATTTTCACGCAGCAGCTGAATCCGTGCGGGGGAAAAATAGGCCCCAGAGTAATGAGGACGGTGTCCTGCAGAGCAAAAAACCGAAACTCTGTCCCGAGCTCCTTGCTCCTCCGCTTCTCTCTCTCCCCACCCCAGCCCCTTTGAACGTCTCCCCCCCCCCCCGCCTTTTCCCAAAGAGCTTGTCTGTCAGCTGACGTCAGGATCCCAAATTCCTCTGTTTCCCTGAAGGCAGTTTTGACCATGTAAGGCCTGGGGGGATGGCAGAGGAGCATGGCTCCAGGAAACAGATGGAGAAGGTGCCAGAAACCCTTGGCCAGAGAGTCGGAGGCAGTGCTTGGGGGGGATGCGCTCGGGGGCAGGCGGCTTTCCTAGAGGTTGACGGGATCCTTTGGCACACCGGGGAATCCCGCAGGCAGAAGATTTGGACTGCAACGTGGAGTCCCGCCGAGCTTTCTCTTGGAAGGATCGTCTTTCCACAGCACGCAAGGAACGCTCAGACATCGCTAGCCTAAACTGCCATCGTGGCCTCTAGCGTGATCTGTTTATTTGTTTGCTTATTAAAATATCTATACTCTGCCTTTCCTTTGGGGCTGAAGGTGGGTTACAGTCCCAAGATTAAAAAAAAACAGATGAAGTGCAAAAAAAACAACAACAACCCACCCTTGAAGCTTCTCCGAGAAAGTGCCTACAGATGAAACCCCATTGCAATCCTAAACAGTCCATTGGCACCTTTAAGACCAAAGCTCTCCCTCCCCAGCGAGGACAGGTCTGCACGTCCCCCCCCCAATAGCTAGCAATCCAAAACAGTCCAGTGGCACCTTTAAGACCAAGTTTTATTCAGGTACAAGCTCTCCCTCCCCTGCGAGGACAGATCTGCACGTTCCCCCCCCCCCCAAATCGCTAGGAATCCAAAACAGTCCAGTGGGGCCTGAGCGGGGGGGGTGGCCTTCTGTCACACTTCCCACGCCGCGGAAATGTCGCCTCTCCCCCCCCCCCCCCCAATAGCTAGCAGTCCAAAACAGTCCAGTGGAGCCTGAGCGGTGGGCGTTGCCTTCTGACACACTTCCGGTGATATCAGGGGGTGTGGCGTACGCAAATGAGTTATGCTAATGAGCGCCTGCACCTCTTTTTCTACGAAATGACCCCTGCTTATAACGAACAAAACACATAAAATAAAAGACAACCAACACATAAAACCCCAAAAATTAAAACCACAATTCAGGACAGGTGGAAAACAATGCTCCCTCTAAGCTCTGGAGTCTTGTGAGCAAAAATTCTACTTTGAGAGCTACTGGCATTAAAGCTGTGAGCTGATCCAGCGGTCAGGACCGTGAGGGGGGGCTTGGTATGCCCTGGGGGTCCTGCCCCCACCCTGCTGAGAGCCTCCAGAACTGTCAGGTTCAACAGCTCCCTGAGACTCAATGGGGAGTACACCGTGTAAGTCAATGCAACCAGCCAGGCTAAGACATCTAATAAGCAACATACTAGGAGGACTAAGATTACAGAAATCTGAAACAACAGAAATGTGTTTGACACGATATGTCTAACAGTGCAGAATTATGCAAGCAGAAAACAATGCCATTAGGGCAGGGTAATACGTAACAGCCACGGATAATGCATTCCTTGCACAATGGCTCAGTTCACAGTCCTGTTTCCTTTATATATAAAAAAAAGCCCTCCCGAACAGTTCTATCTTACTTCGCTTGCAAAGAGGCGTGGGAGACCTGCTGACCTTTTCGGGCAGGCCTTTCTGCATGCGAGAGGAGCAGAATTTGCTGCCAGAAGATGTAGTGGTGACCACAGGCACAGGCGGCTTGAAAAGGAGATGGATTCATGGAGTAGAGCTCGATCAGTGGCTACTAGCCATGGTGACTAAAGGGAACCTCCACATTCAGAGGCAGGCAGTCTGTGGATACGGTGCGCCAGGAAGCAATATCAGGGGAAGACCTCAGCCTCTGTGCCCTGTTGTTGGACCTCCAGAGGAACTGGTTAGCCCATAGAACAAAGTTTGAGTCCGGTGGCACCTTTACGACCAATAAAGTTTTATTCTGGGTTATAAGTGTGCACACACACTTTGATGTCTGCATCTGAAAGAGTGCATGCACACGAAAGCTTATACCTTGAATAAAACGTCGTTGGTCTTAGAGCCAGTTTGGTGTAGTGGTTAGGAGCACAGACTCTAATCTGGGGGAACTCCTCCACATGCAGCTGCTGGTGTGACCTTGGGTCAGTCACCAGTTCTCTCTGAGCGGTTCTCTCAGGAGCAGTCCTTGAAAGAGCTCTCTCAGCCCCACCTCCCTCACAGGGTGTCTGTTGTGGGGAGGGGAAGGGAAAGGAGATTGTAAGCCGCTCTGAGACTCCTTCTGGTACTGAAGGGCAGGGTATAAATCCAGTCTCTTCTCTCTTCTTAAAGGTGCCACTGGACTCAAATTTGGTTCTGCTGCTTCAGGCCATGCACCTGAATCTATCTGATCATTCATCTGGTCAGGCTGGCTATCAGGGAGACAGATGACAGGATGCTGGACTAGATGTAGCTCTGGTCTCCAGCAGGGCTCTTCTGATGTTCTTAACAGAGAACACACATGGATGGGCAGCTGTCAATCTTACCTCTTTGAGAGCCAGTTTGGTGTAGTGGTTAAGTGCACGGACTCTAATGTGGGAGAACCGGGTTTGATTCCCCACTCCTCCACTGGCACCTGGCTGGAAGACCTTGGGCAAGCCGTAGTTCTGATAAGAGCTGTTCTTGAAAAAGAGCCGTTTCTGTCAGAGCTCTCTCAGCCCCACCTGCCTCACAGCGTGTCTGTTGTGGGGAGGGGAATGAGACTCCTTTGGGTAGTGAAGGGCGGGGTATTACTCCAATCTCCTCCTCCTCCTCTTCTTCTTCTTTGCAAGGTGGCTCCTTCCGGAGGCGGGGCTCTTTCACATCCCCTGTGACCTGATCCTTTTAAGTGGAGATGCTGGGGACCGAACCTGGGACCTTCTGTACGCCAAGCAGATGCTCTGCCCCTGAGCCACAGCCCCTCCCTGAGCATTTCTGCAGATATGCAGATTGACACTCATGAAGGGCTGCATATCTTCCGGATCGCCTCGCCCCATATGTGCCCCACAGAGCATTGCGCTCAGCTGACCAACATCTACTGGTTGTCCCCGGCCCCAAGGATGTCCGGCTGGCCTCAACCAGGGCCAGGGCTTTCATAGAACCATAGGATGTGAGAGTTGGAAGGTACCTTGCAGGTCATCTAGTCCCACCCCCTGCACTCTGCAGGAGCAGAGCCGAAAGAGAGCCCTGCAACATACCCGAAAGATGGTCGTTCAGCCTTTCTCTGCCCTGGCCCCAACCTGATGGATTAAGCTCCCACTCAAGATCAGGGGCCTGAGGGGTTGGTTACAGTTCTGCAGGGCCTGCAAGATGGAGCTGTTCTGCAGGGTGTTCGGTTGAGGCGACGGACATCCCAAATCCGTCTCTGGCCTCCCCTACTGAAATCTCTGGCTTCTGATGAGCCTAAACTGATCATAGCAACTGAGGCATCTGCGGTGATTGTTGTTATTAATCTTTGTTTTAACATGTCTTTTAATTATCTGACTCACGTGTTACTGTTTTGTTATCTAATCTATATTTATTGTCCTCGCAAATTCTCCGACCTTGGAACCTGCCTTGAGCCCGTTTGCGGGGAGGGCAGAAGAGAAATCGAATTAAATAAATAAAATAAAGTACTGAAATCTGTATATCTATTTCCCCCCCTCTGAGGCTTCCTGAATGACCTCGGCTTGTGCTGACGGTCGACATCACCACGTCGGGGAGGAGAAAGAAGGCTTTCTGTGCTCTGGAAAAGTCCTCTGGCTCCTTACAGAGCCAGGGGTCATTTCCTGTGGGAGCGCACAGGAGCAGAGCTCCAGCAGTAAGGAGCCCAGGGGGCGGGCACATGCAGCAAGCCCCACCCCCTGCTCCCGGCAGTCCTCAGTCAAGCCACAAGGAGCAAGCAGCAGCCAAGTAAGTTGCAGAGCCCCCCCCCCGGCCCACCTTCAGGTACAAGCTCTCCCCCCTCTCTGAGGGCAGATCTGCATGTCCCCCCCCATAGCTAGCAATCCAAAACAATCCATTGGCACCTTTAAGACCAAGTTTTATTCAGGTACAAGCTCTCCCTCCCCTGTGAGGACAGATCTGCACGTTTCCCCCCGCCCCCAGAGCTAGCAATCCAAAACAGTCTAGTGGCACCTTTAAGACCAAGTTTTATTCAGGTTCAAGCTCTCCCTCCTCTGTGAGGACAGATCTGCATGTTCCTCCCCCCGCCCCCAATAGCTAGCAGTCCAAAACAGTCCAGTGGAGCCTGAGCGGTGGGTGTTGCCTTCTGACACACTTCCGGTGATGTCAGGGGGTGTGGCATATGCAAATAAGTTATGCTAATGAGTTATGCTAATGAGCTCCCGCACCTCTTTTTCTACGAAATGACCCCTGTTACAGACTATTATTGTGGCGTTAAGTTTTCATGGGCTCTTCGAGTCCTTTAGGTCCTATGGAACTTTTCTTTCTGCTGCCCCAGGCTGACGTGGCTGCCCCGCTGGCATCTGAGAGGGGCTCGAAAATTCTAGATCAGGGGGTGTCGAACTCATTTGTTATGAGGGCTGGATCTGACATGAATGAGACCTTGTCAGGCTGGGACACATGCGTCATAAAACGTAATGCCAGGGAGCGGAGATACAAACTTTATAAAGGACACAGACACAAAGGGTGGGGGTTTTTTACTTAAAATTAAAAACCATGCTTAAAACATTAGCGCTCTTGCAATATTTTGTTTATTTAACCGTCTGTGATAACTGACACCCCCCACTCTGAATTATTCCATCAAATTGTCTGTGCTGTTGCCATCTTGAGTATGCTGTTTGGGTGTGTATCGGTAAGCTGCAGACCTACGATGATGCAGCAGCAGCAGAACTGGAAGCAGCAGCAGAAGCCAGCCAGTTCCACTGAGGGCCTGATACAAGCCCTCCAGGGGCCTGATCTGGCCCCCGGGCCGCATGTTTGA